TGTTATTGAGTGAATTAGCCGTAGCTCAGTGTTCATCTTTTGTCAAGCATCTTGAGTGGATCCCTGCCATGTATTTTATTGTCATATTGGAGTGCTGTAGCATGTTGTTCTTGATGCATTTAAATGGTCTCGTGCTGTTAATTGCAGATCGGTGCCATAATTGTTTTTGCTTGCCATTTCCAAACCGTGCATCCGTTTCCGGTGATCTTTATATCGATTTCGACCGACATCAACCCCTCTTTCCAGTGGCACTCCTGGATTTCCAACTTGAGGCCAGGTTCAATCATTCCTTTCCAAATCATGCATATGCATCTCATACCGCATCCCGCATATCATGACATGTTTTTGCATCATGTTGTTTGTGCATTGCACGTGGTTGATTGTGTCTCCCTTTGCTTATGTTCTTGCTTTGGGTAGAGCCGGGAGACGAGTACGTGATCGAGGAGCCCGTTGAGTACGCTTACGAGGATCAAGCTAACGTTACCTCGGAGAACTTTGTAGGCAAGATGACCATATCCTCGAAATCACTTCTATCTTTGCTTGCTAGATGCTCGCTCTTTTGCTATGCCTATGCTACGATACCTACCACTTGCTTATCATGCCTTCCATGTTGCCATTTCAAACCTCTAACCCACCTTGTCCTAGCAAACCATCGTTTGTCTATGTTACCACTTTGCTCAGCCCCTCTTATAGCGTTGTTAGTTGCAGGTGAAGATTGGAGTTTGTTCCTTGTTGGAACATGTTTATTGTTGGGATATCATTATTATATCTTATCTATCTTAATGCATCTATATACTTGGTAAATGATGGAAGGCTCGGCCTTATGCCTGGTGTTTTGTTCCACTCTTGCAGCCCTAGTTTCCGTCATACTGGTGTTATGTTCCTTGATTTCGCGTTCCTTACACGGTTGGGTTATAATGGGAACCCCTTGACAGTTCGCCTTGAATAAAACTCTTCCAGCAATGCCCAACCTTGGTTTTACCATTTGCCACCTAGCCTATTTTTTCTTGGGTTTCCGGAGCCCGAGGGTCATCTTTATTTAACCCCCCCTGGGCCAGTGCTCCTCCGAGTGTTGGTCCAAACTAAGCTGTCTGCGGGGCCACCTTGGGGAAACTTGAGGGTTGGTTTTACTCGTAGCTAGTCTCATCTGAGTGTGCCCTGAGAACGAGATATGTGCAGCTCCTATCGGGATTTGTCGGCACATTCGGGCGGCTTTACTGGACTTGTTTTACCATTGTCGAGATGTCTTGTAACCGGGATGCCGAGTCTGATCGGATTGTCTTGGGAGAAGGAATATCCTTCGTTGACCGTGAGAGCTTGTGATGGGCTAAGTTGGGATACCCCTGCAGGGATTTGAATTTTCAAAAGCCCTGCCCACGGTTATGGGCAGATAGAAATATGTTAATATCCGTTGTAGAAAACCTTAACCTTAACTTAATTAAAATGAATCAACTGAGTGTGTGGCCGTGATGGTCTCTTTTCGGCGGAGTCCGGGAAGAGAACACGGTCTTGTGTTATGCTTGATCGTAGGTTGTTCTAGGATCACTTCTTGATCATAATTCATCGACTGTGCCTTTGCCTCCTCTTCTCGCTCTCTTTTGCGTATGATAGCCATCATACATGCTAGTTGCTTGCTGCAGCTCCACATCATACTTTTACCCTTCCTATAAGCTTAAATAGTCTTGATCGCGAGGGTGTGAGATTGCTGAGTCCCCATGACTCATAGATTCCTTCCAAAACCAGATGCAGGGACCGACGATGCCATTCCAGGAGATTCGACTGAGCTCAAGTGAGAGTTCGATGAGGACTCAGGACGATACTATGTGTCTTTTCCAGATGATCAGTAGTGGTGCCCAGTTGGGGCGATCGGGGACTTTGTCGCATTTGGGGTTTATCTTTATTTTGGTTCCGTAGTCGGACCTTGAGTGTATCTGGATGAATGTAATGACTTATTTATGCATTGTGTGACGTGGCGATTGTAAGCCAACTATGTATCTCTTTCCCTTATGTATTATATGGGTTGTTGTGAAGATTACCTCCGTTGCGACATTGCTTTCAATGCGGTTATGCCTCTAAGTCGTGCTTCGACACGTGAGAGATATAGCCGCATCGAGGGCGTTACAAGTGAGTTCATGAAGAAGACAAACGGACGTCGACGAACGGATCCTCACAAACGCGACGTTATCGGATCCAACCCGAAGAAGAAACACCGGAAATAAGCAAACACCATGGTAAACAACCATCACATCAACATGGCATGATGCACAACTAAGTATGATGCATGTCCGGTTTAATGAAGCATGTCATGGCAAAGTGCACAAACAAACCTACAAATTAAGTGGAGCTCAATATGCAACGAGTTGCATATTGACGGAACACCACAACAATTATTTAGTTCTCTCCCATTTAGGTACCCAACAATATTAAATGTTGTTAAACATGGCAAGAGAAGAAGCAAAAGTAAAACCTCTATCTAAACAAGTTTAAATGAGGCCGGAACAAACAATAGTTCCGGTAAATCCCCATAAGCATTTAGCAATTTAATGCAAACAACAATTTTAAATATTTTAATTGTTGTTATCATGATGCGGATGACATGTGCAAGTTTATGCAATTTTTATTAAAAGTTGTCAAGAGCATTACGAAGCATTTGTCACCGTGGCAGAAACGAAAGGGATGCCACGGCAACGAATCTGAAAATGATGCCACGGCAACAAATCGGTTCCGGTAGCTCACGAAGATACCGGTGCAAAAGGTGGTGTAGCTGGAGCGGAATAACTAGAGATAGTGGGGTGATCCCAGTTACCAGGTGTCCCACGAGACGACACTGGTAGCACAAATTGCCCCGGTGCACCAGATACATTCCGGGGTTGTGGGTGTCGCTAGCCTGCTAGTGTGTCTGCCTACTATGTGGGCTCTCAACATTAGTGGGTCGCTGCCCAAGTCCCCCAGAGTTTCAGTCTCTCACTGCGGCTAGCCTTCCTCTTTGCTCGTGATTTCACGTAAACATCATCTTCCCTCAAATCCCGAAAACCGTCTGCAGGTGCATGACCCAACTGCTTGGTGGCAGTGATGCCCTACTGCGAGTCTGCGACTCCTCAACGATGTGGCCTCCCGGAGCAGTCCGCAGATTTGGGCCGGCTCCTTGAGGCGAAAGCCCTCAGACAACACATGAGGAGGCGCCTCTGAGCACACCTAATCGGTCAAATCCTATTTTACGCTTATTGCATTAAATTGTTGGCACATTGCACATGAGGACGATCCAAGCAACCAGAGACAGGCCGACCCAGTTTGAGCGAGCCAACCAATTGTGGTAACCTTCTAGAAGGTTCATGAACCGGTTTTATTTCACTTTTTTACTTTTTTCTGAAAATTCACAAAAGAATCATGATTTTATAAAACGAGTTCACAATTTCAAAAAAGATTTTTGTTTATAAAAACACAAATTTGAAAAAAAATCTATGATTAAAAGAAGTTGCTATTCAACTATTGCTGCATATAAAAAAGTCTCATAATTTTGCTAAACAACAGTCAGAGCAACAGGACAGTTGATGCACAAAGCATGAGAACAATATAATCTGCAGAAACTAGTATTCTTATAGTGTTATGGCCGGGTATAAAACCTGAATTTTGTTCACATGTTATTCACATGATAGGTGCATTAGCATCTTCGGTTTCAGTTTTCTGCTTTTAGTTGAGTAAGCATAGGTACATTAGCATCGCCATGTTCAGAATTATAGGTGCTAATGAAAATGGACTGAAACTTATAGGAAGAGTGTCCCAGCGCATTAGGGTTGCCATGTTCAAAATTCGATCGTTGTCGAATCAGAAATTTATTTTCTGCTGATGGACTGAAACTTTCAGCAGAATAACAAAAGTCTAGTGTTCAACAAGAACCACCACAGCTGTGTCAATACAACACCTAAGAGAAATGCAGCTAGTAACGTTGAAGTAGTAGCCATTGTCAAATGCATTACAGACTAATGTCACTGGACCGTTGTTCAAACAGTTTCAGAATTTTAGAACCGTGATGCCAGCGCAAATATGTTTCCTATACTGTCAGGGACAACAAATCAAGTTTAGCTAGCAGAAAAACAAGAACTGCTAGGTTCTCCTGAACCCGTATCTCAACAGCAGGCGGCTGACACTTCCGAAGAGGCAACAGTACTCCTAGGAGCCCTGGCTCCGGTATCTACTCTGCATCGACATCCGGGTACTGCAGCGTCGCATGGACTGAAATTAGCAGAAAAATAGTTAAACAAGTTTAAATAAGAATATCAAAAGGAAAGCTGCTGTACAAAACATCAAAACAATGTATGTGCTGTAGGATAAAACCTGAATTTTACGACACGTTATTCGAAAGAAATTACAGTAGGCTAAAAGCCTAAAAGATAGAAATCAATATCTTCTCTGTGAAGCTGAACTCGCCAGACTGAATCATCTGAATCAAAGCCAATAGTTTCTTTCTATATCAGTGTTCAGCAACTTTTATTACGACATGTTCATTGTGGATTTGATTCAGCAACTTTTAGTCTTTTACTGATGCCTGTAATCCTACAGCATGCAGTTCACAATATTTCCAAGTCCTAACTCCTAACTCCTAACTGAAACAGATAAGCAAAAGTTTCAGACTGCACCAGTTTCAGTAAACTGTTTTGAGATTTGCAACAGGCTCGAACGCTTTTCAAAGCACAAGACAGATTAGCACTGAAACCCAAAACATCTGGACAATTTCAAGACTAGGAAGAAGAGTAGGAAGTTGAGGGCCTCGATCTCACTAGGCGTCCCCGCGATGACGACGACGATGGCGAGGGGCTGGTGGTTTCTCGGCAGGTCGACGAGGAGTGGGGTAAGCCAGGCAGCATATGTCTGGAAGCACATGACGAGGTCGGAGGCGTCGATGGCCAGCTGCCTGGCCAGCTCGTCCCTCAGGTCGAACACGGACCTCTCCCTAAACCAGAATGAGCCACGGTCGACGACGTTCGGCCACACGTAGTGGATCAGCCGCCACTCCCACATGGCGGCGGCGAAGGGAACCTGCAGTTGAGACGAATGAAATTAACACGATTTTGCAATCTTTGCGGTCTTCCGACGCACATCCAAGAAGAACCTAATTCGTGCAAATTCGGGAGAAATCAAGAAGCGGGCATGGCGGACTCACTGGAAGGGGAGGCATGCCTCCCTGGCGGGGATGTGCTCCACGACCCAGTGCATCGTCGTGGTGACGTTTCCGGTGTCGTGGACGCTGACGCCGATGTTCCAGCGTGGGTACGAGTACCTCGTGTTGGCACGGAGGCTGCCGCCGTGGAAGTGGTGGAGGCAGACTTCGTCCCCGGATTCTGACAGGGCAGCATACCAAAACATTGCCTCGAACTCCGGATGGTCGTACTTGCGCTGCACGACGCGGCGGCCGCCTCCCGGCGCCGGCGTGTCCGTGGCGACGAGGTAGCGCCCGTAGGCGGCGCTGTAGAGGAGAAGATAGTCATCCTCCCACGTCTCGTCATGGTGCAAGTGCACCGCCCACGCGGCGTTCATCGACGCCCGGCGGTGGTGGAGTGAGACGCCAACCCCGTTGTCGTCGGCGTGCAGGTACGTGCCAAGCTGGCTGCTGCGCAGCCGCACGTGGTGGCCGTCATGGAACTGCTCCATCGGTCGCTTGGGCTCTACGCGGTGGAGATGGAGAGAAGATGGGTTCTTGGTTTCTTGGCGCTCCGGCGACGGGGAGAAGATGGGAAGCCAAAGCTGTTGGTTGAGACGGTTACCTTCGGGCGCCAAGCCGGAGTATTTCAAGCTGCCGTCGCCTTTCGGCACCAGCTGGGTTTGCGGGCTTATGGGCCTAGAAAATCCATCCATCGGCCCGTAGAAGCTAGATCCAGCACGCCTAATCATCAACTTGCTGTCTTGTCTCAAAAGAAAAATCAACTTGCTGTCGGCGCTGAAAAAAACAAAATCCACGAGATGTCTCGGAAGGGGGAAAATATCGTGTTTTTCTTTCTCCAGGAAACATTTTTTTAGGGACCAGATCTATTATAAAAATTCATCGAAAGTATAAAGTATATCAAACATAATAAAATTACATCGGGATTCGAACACCATCAAACGACCACTAATGCCGCCCAAAAAAACCGTCAACGCACTTTGTCGCCGCTCCCTAGAGCCGGCTTGACCTTGTCGACGACAGCCGAAAAGTCTTCGTGCACATGTCTTTAAGGATCAGCGCCCTAGTGCTGCAGTCGTTGTCATTGAACCCTTGCATAGATCTCAAGCATCTGACATCAAATCTTACCATATTAGAAGAAACGACCTTACGTTACTAAGCTCCCATGAAACGAAGGCTCATGGTGCGCTGGGACTGTGGGTATTGCTCGGAACCCCACTGGTAAGTCTCTGGCCCGTTGGTGTGTCTGACTACTATGTGGGCTCTCAGCATTAGACGGTCGCTGCCCAAGTCTCTAGGTCTTTCTCTCTGGCCAGCCTTCCTCTTCGCCCATTTTGTCATGTCACTATCGTCTCCCCTCTAATACTAAAACCCCTCCACATGGGCATGGCTCCACTTGGCGGCGATGAGGGTCTATAGTAGTGTGGCTCCTCCACGACATGGACTCTCGGAGAAATTCTAAGCTTTGGGCTGGCTCTTCGAGGCGACAATTCTCATGCAACACATGAGAAGGCGCTCTAAGAGGTACCGAGCACGCCTAATCGGTCAAACCTTATTTGACGCTTTATTGCATTATAAAAATGTTTGCGCATCGCACATGATAATGACCAAAGCTACCAGACATGGCCCGATCTAGTTTCATCATATGACACACCAACCTGTTTAGGAAACCTTATAGATGGTTCATACGCCAGTTTTCTTATTCAGATTTTTTTCCTTTTTGTCTTTTTTTTTGAAAATTCACATTTTAGAAGAAAAAAATCATGATTTTATAAAGAAACTTAACAGTTTCAAAAATGTTCTTCATTTCAAAAATCATAAATTTGAAAAAACAGATTCGTTTAAAAAAGTGTTGACAAATTAAAAAAATATCATGTTTCAAAAAAATATAAACTCTGTGCAAATTTCAATGAATGTTAGGAAATTTTAAAAATATTTCACGTCTAAATAAAGTTCAAATTTTTGATAAAATTTTCATGTAAAAAAACAGTTTTCTAAAAATAGAGCGAGTACTTTTCGAAAACTTGAATTTTTTTAAAAAATTGAACATTTTTGGTAAACATGGATGTGTTCCAGATATGCAATTGTTTTTTACATATGAACATATTTTGAAAACATGAATACTTTTAAAAATACAAAAAAATCAAGTTCTGAACATTTTTCTGAAATACAATTTTTTAATTTTTTTGGAAAAACAAAATAAAATAAAATTTGTGAACAATTTTTGAAAAACACAAACATCTTTTCAAAGCCAGTTTTGCTAGAGCAAATCCTGTTTCGCTATGGTAGCCGGTCGCTAAAGTTATCTGCTATGCTACAACACCAGTCGTTGCAGTCATGGAGGTTAACGTGCTACAAATGCACCCAAAGAAACTCATGCAAAAACTTCCCAAAAAATCTTTAAAATAATTGACTACAGGAACATAATATATATGTATCATGTCACATAATTTTAGCTACAAATTAACTCGCACCTTGAGAAACAAAAAAGACAAATCGTGACTTGAATGTTGTTCCTTTAAACTGGCCGTGAATTGGGTCCATTTGCACTAACACAGCACAACAGAATTTGTTAATTTTGTTTCTCTTGCTGTGAGTTTAATTTATGACTGAAATTTTGCAACATGTTAGATGTATGCTATTACTTTACACTCAAATATTTCTGAAAGTTTTAGAACTCATAGTACAAGATTTTGATGTTTGATGCACCAGTAGCACAAAAACTATGTGTGCACAGGATACACTCTCCATTGCAGTGATCCAGTTTGCTATAGGAAAACAGCTCGCTGCAGAATGTCGGCCCGGTCAGACGCACCCCTATGTGATTGCCTGACATCTTGACGCATAGAGCGTTATATGGGGACTGCCTGCCTAATCATCCACGCTGCTCTGTCTTGAAGGTAGGAGAGCCAGAGCCCATCTCCAGTCCCTCGCCTCCCAGCTGATGCGCGGCACGAGAGGTCACTTAGAGCTTTGACGACCCATCAAGGTCAGATTTGAGTGACGAGGCTAGCTTTGGCCGGCACAACGAGAGCGGGCCAAGCGCGACGAGCTAGCGGCCCCCTTTCAGGACCTCAACGCGGGTTTTGCACCTAGCTACCACCGGGAAATCCCCCGATGTCGTCTCCGCCATCCGCAGCACACGGGCCTCTTCTATGAACGCATGCAAACCCTACACATATATATGAGTACTTCCGAGACCGAGTCAGCGGATGTTGAGACTGACGAAGACACCATATAAACCTCATTGTCGACGAGAACATCGTCTCCCATTGGAATGATATTCCGCCTTAACGAAACACATAGGGTATCAAACCCGAGGTTTGATCCTGGTAGACTGAGGGTAAAACCACTCGCCTAACCACCCAACCACGGATTAGTTCTCATGTATCTCTCCAAATAGGCTTCCGTCTCGCGTTATATCATAAAGCCACTTGGTTGAATGATACATATGGATGTCGTTCGGCTAATTCCCTTTCAAGAGAATTCTTGTGCTACTTCTCATAGAGGCGGCTAGGGTTTTTCTCCTCACAACGATTTCCCTCGTAGCTGAATGTCGACCAACCGGTGATCCTTTCTCGTCGTAGTGTTTCTGATCTTACGATCGCCCCATCAGTCCTCAGCCAGTCCTCGTTGGGCCTATCTCCTGGTTGAGTTCGGGCTTTGATGGCCACTGCATCTGACGTGTAATCCACCTATAACGTTGGATCGCAAGGGGCTCTCCCGATGATCTTGGTGATTTCCTCGAGAAACTTGATCTTTAGGAGGAAGAGTTCGACGACGTAATTGTATATGAGGAAGTGTAGGAACTTTAGAATCGAGTTCGCTGGCTCGCGCTGGATGGGGTTCGAACATCAAAGAGCTTTAACCAAGAGGAATTCTACCGTGAGATGCGGGTGGCATAGAACCTCACCCAAACTGTAAGATTCAGAGAGGTCAGGGAATATTTCTCCGTGGTGCAAGTCTTATGTATGGGAGAACGAGAACGAGTTAATCAAGTACCTTGGTATTCCACTAATGGTGATGGAGCCAAATCCAGCAGATCTCAGGTACAGAGTCCCGAGCTAGTAGCCTTGGTGTGATGATAACATGAGAGATGAGACACAGGGATTTACCCTGGTTCGGACTATCTTGAAGAGAAGAGATAATACCCTATGTCCTGCTTGATTGTATTGATTTCGAGGGACTGCATGTTACATGTTGATTTACCATGAGATCGTGTACGTGCCCGCGAACAGCCAACGCCCGAGCATGATGTTGAAGTGGCCTGGGGCCACACTGCGCAGATCGATAGGCCAGCACGCCCCTCGTGAGGCAAGGACTAGTACGTTGCACTAGCGCCATGAGCTCGTCGACCTGCATGAAGCATCATGATGCAGCCAAGTGGAATGAAGGCGGGGAGGGCGGAGGAAACCCGATTGGAGCATGTGGCGACGGCAGACAGGGAACAACGTGTGGACGATGGGCATCCGTTAGGTTGCATTGTCGAAGAAGAGATAGGAGTAGAGGCACATAGGGTTGACAGATGGTGGACGACACAAACTGATCTTAAATCAGAGAACCAAAAAAGGCGTCGATCAATCGATCGATGAGAGAGAACACCCCCCCCCCCAAATCAATTGATCGAATTTGTTTCACAGTACTGCTCTATAAAGAGCAGCAAGTTGGCAACGACATCGATGTCCGATCAAATTGGTTTGAAACAAGATCAATATTCGAACACCTTGAATCTAAAGCTTCCTTGCCTCTTCTTTTTGTAATGACCTTGAAACATTTTCAGTATCCCATAAGAGAGAGAGAATTTTCCTGGTTCGGGCTCTCTCGAAGATCTAATACCCTAGGTCCTGCTTGATTGTATTGATTTCGAGGAAGTACAAGTTACAGGTTGATTTACCACGAGATCGTGTACGGACCACGAACAGCCCACACCCAAACAGGGTGTTGAAGTGGCCTGGGGTCACACCGCACTGATCAACAGCCAACGAAGGTCGTTCGTGACGCTGGTGTGTCGGGTGTTGAGTACTTGCAGCAGCGGCCTTGACAGAAGAGAGCGGCAACACAGGTGGAAAGCACTGGAGTACCGAGCTGTGATTTCCGGGTGAAAGCCCAAGGTCTGGCCTTCATTGGTTGTACCTGGCAATGGCCTTGCTGAAGGCATTGTTTTTGGGATCTCGGTCTTTCTTCAGGGTGAAAACTCAAGATCCTTGATCAGGCGACAACAAGGGCCGACGACGGAAGCTCGGGACGGAGATGCGGAAGTCCCACGTACGGTTCCCTGAGAAGGGAGTGGCTACCCACTGGAGTTTCGACCAACTACCACTGGTCAATTCCGCTTTGGGGCCACGCTTGTGCATTATTTCTTTCTTGGAGGCGTCGCCGTTGAAGAACCTCTTTTGCGGTCCGAGTGTTGTCTTTGGTGGTGGTTAGAGTGTTACTGTTGCGAGTATTTCACACTGCGACATGGTCTTTGTTTTTTTAATTCTCTCTTTTTTATTTTTTTCTTGGCTGTGTGTATCCCGGATGTCTTTTGGTATCTTGTTGGTGCAGAGCCAGGTGTAATTGGTATCTTCACGATATTAGTATATTCCCCTTTTCAAACAAAAGGACCAGCACGTTGCACCAACGCATGAGCGCGTCGACCTGCATGAAGCACCATCATGCAGCCGAGCCGAATGAAGGCGCGGTGGGCGGAGCAAACCCGATCAGAGCATGGCAGCGACGGCCGGCTGGGAACGATGGGCCTCCCTTAGGTCGTATTGTTGGAGAAGAGACACGTGTAGTCGATGTCAGTGTCAGAGTGGATGCGCATAGGGTTGACATACGGTGGACGACACAAACCGGTCTTAAATCA